AATGTATGAATCAGTGAGTTGTAGTTGTATAGGATGTTACAAATTTTGTTTCTTTTTTACTTAATTAGTTTGTTTGAAAAATATTTTTTTTAGTTATGGATTTTCTTTAACGTTAATATTTTTTTATGATTATTGGCAACTAGCGTTAAACGTGTGTTCATTTATTGTCGCGGTGGTAAAGACACTCTATATAGGGCAAATCTATTTTTTTTTAATTGAAGGTTGCAAAAGAGCTATATAGGTGGCAGGTGTTGAAAACCTTTATAGGACGAAGCAATTGTGGGTTTTTCTACAGTCTATATTTCTATCTTTACTCTAGTTACTACATCGCCTTTCAAGCTATAGCATTTTTTAACATCAATTTTTAGAAGAATTTTCTTCACGCGTCTTTCGAAGTTTGTGAATTTATTAGAGATCATCACGTAAGGCACAAGCAGTCTCTCTCACTCTCTCTCTTTCAAACACCCGAAAGGGTCCTGAAAACCGTGGGCGAGAGGAAAATTAGAAATATTTTTTTATTTTATTACTATTGCATTATTTTTTTTCTCTCAAACGGTCTAAATTTATTTTTTGTACCGTATTCATCCCACTTTGTGTCCCACTATACGTCTTGTTTTTTCAAATATTATCCGCATTGCGTGCGTAATCACAATAAGCAAACAATATTCAGGACTATGGGTTACTCATAAAGGAGTTCTACATTCGCTATTGAAACATGAAAAGCTACTTAAAGCCGCATGTAAAGTTTTAGGGACCAACTGGTGCTTGTTTTCGCAAAAACAAATAAGATTAAAGGATAACGGAATCAAAAAGATTCCGTTGAATTTTACGTAATGCAGTATCCACATATCGACACGGCGTCCGCACGGTAGATCAAGTGTGCCGAGGTCAACGACCCCACTTTCACTTTAGGGCGGACCACATCCTCGTAAGTTCCGACCGTATTACGATCAGGAAGAATGAGTACGTACGTTGACACTTGACGACGGTCTGTTCAGCGAATACATCACATAAAATACGCCCCTAATAATGTTATAAATGTGAAAGTATGTTTGTTGGTTTGTCTTTCTTTCGCGCAGTAACCGAGCAACGGATCGATATTATTTTACGGGGTTCCGTACCCAAAGGGTAATACTGGACCCTATTACTAAGACTCCGCCGTTTGTCTGTCCGTCTGTCACCAGGCTGTATCTCATTAACTGCGATAGTTAGAACGTTGAAATTTTCACAGATGATTTCCGCTATAACAACAAATACTAAAAAACGTAATAAAAAATATTTAAATGGGGCTCCCATGCAACAGACATCATAATCACATTTTTTTGCGATATATTATAGTACGGAACCGGTGCGCGAGTCCGCCCGCACTTGGCCAGTTTTGGCGTTTAACGACAGGTTACCGTTAAATAGCTTGAAACGCATTTTAGAAACAAAAACAAAAACAATTTCAAACATCTCAATCGCAGTATATTATCTATTTTATTTTGGGGAGTTCCTTGATGTCACTCCGGAGTCAAAGGTTCAATATGAATGAAATTAATATGAGACTAAATGAACGTCAAACCGCACCCAATGCCATTTTATTTTACAATCGGTTCATAAATGACGGAGTTCTGAGGTAACGAACATAAAATAATATAACCGTATTTAGCCGACTTTTTTGAAAGTTGGTTGAAAACCTCGGGCATAACTTTATAGCTGAAAATTTTCTTTTCAATCAATCATTCTGGAACTGTATGGTATAATCCGTTAATAATATTTTACCAGGCTAGGTCATAATTGAGGGAGTTTTTGATATTATCGCTGTTGATTGTTGACCCCTTGATTAATCTTGATTATTCTTAGCTCAGTCTTAGCAAATTAAAAACAAGAAATGATATGGCAAATAGTAAATAAGTAATTTGGAATAAATTTAAAACAGCGTGTATTAACTGAATTTAAGAAACAGTGACAATTTAATGTCTGTCACAAGAACCGACGTCACCACAAAGACTAAACGATGTCACCATCTCCAAATTCAGCTGCTATCCAATGGCGAGTGTGGGTCACAATAGCCACTAAATGTATAACTTCCTATTGCTCAACCCTCGTAGTAAACATCCGCTGTAAAATGTTTACACACGATTGTCCTTGTCGTTGCGGTATGTTGCGTAAGAACAAACAAAATTTTCCGTCAAAAATGGTGGAAAGTGTTCGTAAGTTAGCGAGCGACCGACGAATTAGGTCAAGCCTTTCGTAAATAATAAGCCGACACAGATGGAGCGAGTACGTAAGAAATATAACATATATACAAAATATTACAGGCGACTCACTCGTCTCGAACGGAGTTAAGAAGAAAGAAGAGTCAAGAGAAGAAGCTCAAGAGCGAGACAGCGAGAAGGACTTAGAGGAAGCTCTGTATGGCACAGCGGATACGGTGGAAATTTAGAAAGACGTTTACGTTAGTGATCTTACCACAGGGAATTGACTAAATCGTAATAACTATATATCAACTCCGGGGATGGCTCAGGGTTTACGTCATCAACGACTGATGACATCACGATTAATTCTGAAAACGAAATTCGTCGGGAAAAAGTAAACATATTATGATGACAAAGTGCCTGGAAAGCATAGCAACGGTTCAACGTTTAAAAAGAGACTTAATCTATTTTGATGGTAAAAAAAAATATTTTTTTTTTTCGTTACAAAATATTTTCATTCATATTTCTAATTTGTTCACTTTTAAGGTAAAAATTAAATTGAAATTATTCCAAAATGTATTGTATGGTTCGTAATACGTGGTATGGTAATACATTGATAAATTTCGACAATAAAAATTGTATCTCTGTTTAATTTTCACTGAAAGTCATATTACAACGAATCAAATTCTCGATCAGATAATTTCAGTGCTGTTTTGTGCTAAGTTTTTATTGATTTTCATCACAGCTTCTTCGTGAATTTATATTTGTGCCACCGTGTTGTCAAACAAAGAGCAAAAATCTTTATGGCTAAGGTTACCAGCAATTTTATTATATCGGACACGTTTATGATATCGCAACGCCGCTCATAAAAGCTTAAACGCTTTTATGAGCGGCGTTGCGATATCATAAACGACTTGTTTTTATGATTTATACTTAAATTGCTGTTTTGTGAATTGAGGCTCTACCGTTTAACGTTAGTTTTAGGTCAAATGAGTACATGTTATGACCTTTTGCAATGATAAAATTTTAGTAAGCACTATTCATGAATATGCCTACTAGAAACCTTACCAGAACCTACGAGATTACAGATTACGTATACTAATGTATTGTATACTTAATGTTACAGTCTTATCCTCAGACCACATCATTACGTTAAGATAATAAAGTAGTGTTACAGAATATGGTAACCGCCAACTACGGCCGACTAGTTCAGTGACGAAAATTCCTCTTTCTTTGTTGTATGTATTACGAATGTTACGGTTCAATATAAGTGTTAATTAATTACTTAATAATTCGACCTTTATTTTAAATTATATTATGAATGAAATTATCAATCATGACTGAAAATTTTTCGTCTAATAACTAAGCGATAAATTGCAAAAATAAATGTAACGAAATCGCTAATACAATCTATCTGTTTTGATAACTTATATTTTAAAGGTATACTTGACTCAAATTTTATACACTGTAACAGTTTTTTTTTTGAATATTACATAAAGGCGTCATAAACACAAGAATCCAAATACATAAATTTAATTGACCGTGCCTCTCACTTTCGTAACTGTTACTAGTGTAAAGAGGTCGGAAGTGTTTCTGTACCAAAATTTGTTTATCATCAGTTCCGTCGAAGAGACCGGTCTTACTGTTATACAACATCATAGGTACCGTACATTTACTTCCGTTTGTTTGGTCAAGGCGTAAAAGAAACATGTAACTGGCATACAAAGAATATAAATACGTTAATTTGAAGGAATTATGAGTAATATTCAACGTTTCGTAAATCTCATCTCTTCGAAATCGCTTGTAATGTTTTCATCCTAATTTCCTTTAGGTGTAACTATTGTTTTGAATTTCTTTAATACTCTTTTTTCCGAATATCAGTTTATTGCTGATTCAACTGTTATGTTTTTCCTGTGGCGTGTTTAATTTTTATTCCTTAATTTTATATCGTTTCTACAAATTTCAATAGTCATCATATAGGCTTTTGATGCTATACGGAAAATTAAAACCTGCGAATTATTTTTTATATTAGCATTTTTATTTAATCGTGTTTCCGTGTTAAATGTCCCATCACAATACTTTTTCCGTCTTCATTGATGAGATTATGCAATTCAGTTATTTATTATGTAACACGTGTACGAACATCCGATGCTTTTTAAAAGATTATGTCATTTGTAATCAAATAATAAAATGAATTGTTCTTTATCAACAGCGCTCACTTATTTTTTATGAGTATTCATTTTTTTGGCGAATTTCTTTTATGTAATATAAATTAACACTGCCTTATTCATTCAAAAAAAATTAAATACATTATAAATATTAACTTGAATGTTTAATAATAATTAATCTACTTTATTTTAAACATAAGAAAGATGAGAAATAATAACTAAGGCTTTTTAAAACCTAAAGATGAACACTATTCAAACTTCAAAAAGCTCTTTAAGACAAAACTGCGTGGGTTTTACTGATCTATTACGTTTATCTTCCTCCTTTTTCATTGTGCAGGGAAGAGCTTTGGGAATTTCTAAGAAATGTATCACAGAAGTGATTCTGTGTTACGAGCTGGAATGCTTCGGGGAAGGATAAACTTTGCTCTCTGGCACGAGAGACTACTTCGTCTTCGTCAGGTGTCTATCATAGGATCTATGGGCCTGAGATTACAGGACGGGTTTATCCCTTTCTATATCATACTGTAACTGAAGCGCCGACTCTGGTGCCTACTCCGTCCTAGTTTGTCGACTTTATACTGCATTTGTTTAAATTAGAGGAAATTTTCATATATCAGACTGTCGCGATCTTACCGGTTCTTCTCAAAAGCTAAATCGGGCTCGGATTTAGCCGACGGACCAGCTCACGGATTTCCGTGAGCTGGTCCGGTGACAGATTGTGACGGCCAAAAATGTTCAAAATAAGAATAAACTTGTCAAGGAGACTTCTACCGTCTAGTACCGTCGATCTGAGAGGGGTGTGGTAGATTGGGACGGTCATAACTGTTCAAAACGGAATAAGTAGATTTTGAGTCAAATTCATTTGACATCATACCGTCAGTCTCAGAGGGGTTTGGTAGATTTCGACTGTCATGAGTGTTCAAAATTAGATTAAGCTTAATAATGTGATTTTTACTTTGATCCAGTACTGTTAAAGATTAAGAAAGATCTTACCGTCGATCTGAGAGGGATATTTGTGGGCCGCGAAGCCAGTGGGTGCTGCTGGTGCGGTGTGGTAGTGCGCTGGCGCGGTCGGGGCGCCGTAAGCGCTGGGTGCTCCGTACTCTATGTGCGTGGTGGGCGGCGGACCGTACACGGCGGTGACTGTAAACATTGTATTCACCCGTCATCACTTGTCATCACCCGTCACCACCCGTCATCACCCGTCATCACCCGTCATCACCCGTCATCACCCGTCATCACCCGTCATCACCCGTCATCACCCGTCAACACCACCCAGCCAGTGCTTGGCGCTATCTAGAGTTCTGTTGTTTTCAACGTAAGAACTATGCTTGTATTGTTAAATGAAACAATTATTGTGGAACAAGCAATGTTTTATTATATGTTTTAAATTATTATAAGAATCTGATTACTCTCTCTTAGGTTCACAATATGCAAAGTGACAAGAGACAGTCAACCATAGAATAATATAGAACACACTGCTAGCGATGTTCGCAATTCAGTCTATGATACAATGCTAACGTCCAAGATTCTTCCATGTAGTATTCTAACCAACTGGCAGCTAGACTTATGGATATCTACAATACTATTCCGTGGAGGGGAGCCACGGAAAAGTATTGTAGATATAATCAGTAACCACTTAACATCGGACGGGCCAACTGCTAACTTGTGGTGGTTCTCAGATATAAAAGGTGTTCAAAATATCTCTTCTATCCAAACCTTTATTATAATATTAAAAAGCTTTATAATTAAAAAGATAACTAATGACTAGAGAATAGACTAATGCCAGAGATAGGCAGCTGTTAAAAGGTAAAAGAAACTGCAGGAGAAAATGTTCAGCCACTGAAACTGGATTTTCAAGAGATGTTTACTAAACGTTTTGTCTTATTACAACGGAATTTCGAAAAATAATGTAAGACAAAATGTGCCAAAGAGCATTGTTTCAATAAAGTAATTATGAGTAACACTTTATTATAATAAAATTACTAAGCACGTTCCAACAATAGAAATATTTTCTATTTCTATGTCTCGATAAGAAACAATTTACGTTTCTGCTAAGACTCATTTTATAGCTCCATTGTCACCGATATGATAATAAATTACATACACATAACAAGAAAAGAATACGAAATGCCATGGTGATTTTTGTTAGCTATAATATTTTATGGGAATCTCAACAATCGCACAATTATCACTGCGACTTGTAAAATAATTCTTACGCAACTGTTAAAACAGTCATAAAAGTTGAAGGATGTGATGTATACAAAAAGCGCAATAGAACAACGAAGTGGTGCACAATATCTATGAATGCATAATCTCAGGACGCGGCTCCAATCCTCATTCTTGAATAATGAATTCAAGAATTAAAAATAATGAATGAAAAATTATAATGAATCAAAGAGTTTCGGGATTTTTATCGATTTAAAATCAAACATTTTTTGTCATAAATCTATGTTGGTTTATTATCCGTCCGTGTATCATTATTATTTTTCTAAAACGTGTCTGTGACAAAGGTTAACGTTTAAGACTCGACTAATTGATCATTTATGAAAATTATTTGTTTTGCTCTATGATTCATGATACCAAATCTACTTCTCGTAAATAGCCCACCGTGGTTGATGAGCTTTTATGGGACATCCATACCAGAAAATGAAAAGGGTAACAATAACGTTTACCGTAAAATATATTCTTCTTTCTCCCCCTTTTATCCCACCTAGGTGGGGGCCATTAACAACTTGTGAATGATATTTTTAATGGCTGACCCCACCGGTGTGAATCATGTTGTTAATGCTATCGGCTAGATTTTTTTTTACAACCAGCCGCCTGCCTGACGTCAACCCTCCATGAGGATAAACAACCAGATCCAGTACAATTATGTGTGAGTCATATAAATACTCGTCCTGTATGGCAAACGAACCCACAGCCCCGGGGGAACACACATATAAATAACTTACTATTAACTTATAAGCTTATCACAAAACATGTGCCCGGTTTTTGTCTGTGGTTTCTCTTACCCGTCGGTTTCTTGTGACTTAAAGCTGCGGAACTGACGATCTTCTTCCCCAGGTTGCTGACGACATCTCCCTTGCCCGAAATCACCTTTCCTAAGCTGGCTGCTAACGCGCCTCCGCCCTTGATCAGCTGTCCTTTGAGGATGGTCACTCCTCCAGTTATCGCTTTCACAGCTTGGAACAACGTGTAGAGGATGGACTTCTTCAATCCCCAGTAGTCTACCTTTTCATCGTGCTGTTGAAAGGAATGAACAAGTTAAAATAATTCAAATCAAATCAAATCATTTCATTCATCGAAATAAGAAATATACATTTCATTTATCGATAGTCATTTTTTAAATCTACCACCGTTTCGTAATGAGGTTCCTCTAACGAAGAAGACTCTTTTTTGTAATTTTTTTTCTCAACAAATACATTGTTATACAGTACATAGCATATATGGCAATAAACAGTTTTTAATGTTTAATTCTCAATTACTTCCAGATCTTGCAGCAGCAAAATGATTTTCTGTCTCAATTTTTACTTTCGCGTTTCAGCAAAGTTGTCACTAAGGAGACTTCCACGTGTGTATTTGGGTTGACTCCACTGAAAGGTTGATGGATTCAATTCCTCATTCCATTAATAAGTTATCAGACTAATACATAATCTAGCCGAATATGAAGCAATTCTTCTGCTAAATGGAAACAAAAACCTAATGAGGTTTTTGTCTGTTGCTGCGCATTTCAGTAAGCTAATGAGCTTACTGAAATGCGCAGCAATTATTTCTGATACTCACTGGCTCGTAAGAGTAGCCGTGCTCGTCGTTATGGCCCGACTTGCTGGAGGCGGAAGCCACGAAAGACGCGGCCCCGGCGGATGCCTGACCCAATAGACCGAGCTTGCTCTGGATGCCCGACGAGGCTTTCGAAGCGACGGCAGTCAGCGCTTGCGCCGATGACCGTTTTGTCCTATAGACAGGGTGGAGTACACATTAAGTGCTTGCCGTCAGAACGCAAGCGAGAAGGAAAGTGAAAGGGGTACGGAAGTCAGAGCAAACCGAACGGCTTGTACAAAACATGCTATATAATATTTCAAAAAAGAAAAACGTCATATGGAGGAAAGGTGCGTCCTTACAGCTTATATATGTCCGACGGCTGGGCAGAGGCATCCTCTTTATAGAGGGTATTTGGGCATAGTCCATCCCGCGACCCCACTGAAGATTGGTGGTCTTCACATATCTTCAAAATATATTTTTTTTGTTATTGTTTTGAAAACATGAAGGTTATTCACGATGTTTCCTTTCACCGCTGAGCACGTGATAAGTTAGCACTTAAAATCAACAAATTCATGAATGTAGGCACCGGGATTTCAACTCAAGTTGCCCGAGCACTGAGCTATCACGGCTCTATTTGTATTTGTGTAACTGATTACGCTTTCAGTCCTTAGACTATTAAAGCTTCATCGAACTCAGGACCGGTGGGCTAGCCAGAACCCACGGGTTTGAGGCCCTCCTCAGTGGGTAGGGCCGCGTATGTACTCATGCGTGCGTTAATTATGACATGTCGCCTACGGGTCATCGAGGTTCGGTGCGGACCGTGACACCGATGACCGTTGACTGTGCTATCATGGCTCTATATACCATATGTAGTCGTGTCCAATCTTATAACCGTGTTAGCCTTCCTTCACGTTGTTTTTTGAAATATTTTGTTCTTATATAATAATTATCATAATGGCGAATTGCAGTCATACTAAAAAGAATGATTAAAAAGAAATTTTCCAAAAACATCAAATGTTCATAAAGAGTATGAAAAATAACGCAAATTTCGAACAGGTTTACAACCACACGATGAATGTCTTTAACTTTGTGGTTAGCTTCTTGCTCGGTTGGTTTGGTCATCCAAATGAGAGCAAGTGTGGGCACGGCAAAGTGAATGGGCGGTTGAACAATACCTCATGATTTCCTCGGCTGCTAGACCCTCAGCTAAAGCTTCTAACTGCTGCGGGGTCATTCTGCTGATAGCCGCCATGTCGATGATGTCCAGGGTCAACGGCGCTGGCGCGGCCATGGACGACGCCATGCAAACTATGCATAACCAGACCTGAAACAAATGATATGAGTTGATGTGAGTTGGTAAATAACGTACCTTTGGTAAAAATAAGTGATGTTAAACGCGTTTACCCAAGCTCTCAAACTGAGAGAACGTATATTTTATATAAAGCATCGATGTCCATTCTTTATTTTATACCCACTTTTAGGATATTAGATAATTATATACATGTCTATAATATAAATTTATTTACAATATAAAAGTATGTTTATGAGTCACCTTGTGCAAGCTTTGTTTAGATAAAATTACTTTGGCTAGATAACGTTGGCTGCATGTCTGTTCTAAAATATGATAAATGGTATAATTAAGTGAACGATAGAAGAGTTAAGGATTTATTGCACCGTGTGATACAACAGCTAAGTAAGTGGCATTACATAAGAACAGTGTATTTTTTGTCTGTTTGGATGGCGCAATAGTTTACATGCCGCTGTGCTACGTACTGTGAATTCGTTACCCAAATGGAAATAACATTTTTGTACGTAATTATTTGAGACACAACTAATTGTTTCGGATCTAGGTGTTTGTACACGTGAAATTTATATTTATAAAACGCCTTTACATAACAGGGTAATGTTATCCTACAGTGACAATATTAAAAAAAAGTTGTTCCCAGTTTAGAAGTAAATTGTGTTTGATTGTTGTTTACAAAAACCCTGGCAACACGCAGAATGAAATAAAATATATTTAATACATTTTATGTGTAAGATGATGGTCTAGGTAGAAAACATATTTGTAGCATATTAAGTTCACAATCGCACATACGCTGCATTGACAATAGGAAATTCACGTACAAGAATGAGAAAAGAAAGCAATTGAAGAAACCTAATGGAAGCGGTCACAGCTTTGCAGCAAATTCATCCGTTGACGTTTTAAGTAAAAGAGAAAATGTATCGAAAATTCAAAACATATCGTAAGGAAACTGTGATATTGTATATATTTGTAAATAAACGTAATTAATCAGTGCAAGAGATAAACCAATCCATAATTGAGAATCATTTGAAATGAAAAATTTGTTTGAGAACTTTTTTAACTTAACAAATTTTTGTGACATTTTGAACTAAGCAAATATAAATACAAGAAATATAACAATACTTACAGTAACAGTAATAACCAGTGCTTGATTGCCTCACAGACGTGAGGGCAATCAAGCACTGGTTATTACTTTTATCATACGCATATTACAAATTATTATTAAGTTCTATAGACACACTGTGAACCCGACCAGAACTGCAAAAACTCTATCTTTAATCTCTTTTTAATAGATTATTCAAGGTAGTGGAAGCTTGAACTCTACACCAGAATATCTTGTAGAGGCCATAAAAAGTATAAATAAAATTGACTCATATTTATTGTTTATACTTTAAGTATAGTAATAATTGAGTACCCGTAATGCAAGCAAATAAGGAATACATAATATTATCGAATTATAGATAATTTATTAACATTTTGATAATTACAATCTGTCCCGTGACGTTGAACGCTATGAAGTTGAGAATTTTAAATCATAATAAAGCGAGACAATATCCGTAAAATAGTTTTATTTGCAAAATTTGTGGTAAATAAATATATAAAGTATTAATGAACTTTCCAAGCTTGTGTTTATGGCTCAATTATAACGGTGCCAGCCTCTATTATTAGACTGTAAGTGATATGGTCGTAAATACTAGTAACACCAACTAAGTAATACAGAATTCAGTGTTGTCAACTGCTGGCTTCGTTTATAGCTTTGCTTAAGCCCCCCTGTATAGTTACGGGCCCGATGAGTTTAGCAGGTAGGCAGTCTGTAGGCAGTCTGTGTAGGAGCCCTATATTCATTACTAGACTCTAATTAGCCGAAATGATGATGACTTCAGCAACGTTTAGAAATAATCCGAAATACGTATACATTGAAAATGATCGATGTTTTTTGATGGAGCGGCTCGCGCAAGCCTTGGCAGTGAAAAGCGAAAGTTTTTACGCGCGCCGCATACGTCATCGTGCGGTCAGCGCACCGTCCGCTCGTCGTGGCCTTAGAAATGGCGGGTTCGCGATTTTTTAACGATGTTTTTATCGTGCTCTTTGTTAGGCTTCCATACCCAAAGGGTAAAACAGGACTAAACGGGATTAAGACTCCGCTGTCTCTCCGTCTGTCACCAGGCCGTATCTAATGAACCGTGATAGTTACACAGTTGAAATTTTCACAGCTTTAAAAACAAATATTAAAAAAAAACAATAAAAAAAATTATTTACTGGGGCTCCCATATATGATTTTTTGCCGTTTTTATAGATTACGGAACCCTTCGTGCATGAGTCCGACCTGCACTTGGCTGTTTTTTTTTTTTTTTATTATATTTTCTTGACATTTGTTTCGCAAATGTTTAATTTTTGAGGTTTCAAGGCCCAACGACATAAGCGTTCGATGTATCTAGCAACGTCTTCTCCGAGTATACATATTATTGAATCCGTAAATAACTACAAATTGGAAAATATACGCGTAATGTGCGTCGAAATAGTTCAATTTTACCATTTTAATTTTAAAATCTCGAGCTACAGAACAGACTGAAAAGTCGTACAAATGTTTGGTTTAAAGATGTGTAAAATTATTGTGAATACTAATAATCTTTTTCGAATTTATTTATTTATTTATTTAGAATGATTAAAATGTCCAAACTTCATCTATGTACTTTTTCTCCATGTGCGTATTTTACTTTTAAGTGTAGTCTAATGGGTCAATCAAGTCGTTGTATTTGTACCTAAACTCAGCAACCGTCTATAGTCTATGTCAGTAAATAATAGAAAACAGCGAGAACTGCGCCGGAAGCGAGTGCATGGTACGAGTATAACCTATGTAGTTTCGCCGTCCTAGTGTACAAAGTACATAGTGTAAAAGGCAATGTGTTATATTATTTACTGTGGTAGGGCCACGTAGCACCTCACAGAAGACCGGTGTCAAGTGGAAGTGTAATAAATACCTTTGCGTTTCGTCTGGTGAGTGAGGTAGCCGGAGCTCAATTTTCAAAAGGTTGTTAAAGCATCTGCAACCCTCAATATTTCACAATGTTTGTGTTTGTTTATGTAAGAAGATGGCAAACGCGCTGGCGGTTCCGGTTGATAAGTTACAGCCGCCGCCCACGGACATTCACAAACCGTAGGGTTGCAGATGCGTTGCCACCTTTCAATAAACTGTCCCCATTACCCTACTCGCCAGATTAAACGCAGGAGTATAATACTATCACTTTACGGCGGTCTTCTTTAAGGTCGTGGTACTACCTCGGACGGACCTGCCCATTCGTGCAACAATAGTGGGAATGCTTAAGAAACTATATCAAAACACGTGCTATGCAATATCGCTTCAGCCTCGTTTGATTTTATGCTTTTGCCACAAGAGTGACATGGGCCAACTACTACCGAACATTTAAAAAGTAGTCTCGCGAGTCTCGCTTCTTTTGCAATGGTAGCAATTAAACTTGCGCGAATTTGGGCTGTTTGTCTGTGGTCACTTTCGTAATGTACATCAGTCTTACTTCCTGTTGTTGTTTCACGGGTGAGGCGGACTTATCGTAAGACGTTTATTTGTTTGTAACATTAAGTGCATTTTGCGTAACACGCCGTTTTATTCCATAGGTTGTCTCGATGGTCGATTTCGACCGCGATATATATTAAAACTAGCGACCCGCCCCGGTTTCGCACGGTTGCAATGTATTATACACATAAACCTTCCTCGTGAATCACTCTATCTAGTAAAAAGAACTGCATCCAGATCCGTTGCTAGTTTTAAGGAATTAAGCGTACATAGGGACAGACAGACAGCGGGACGACTTTGTTTTATACAATAGTGATTGTAACTGCGAACCTGTTTACTCTTTAACTGCGAAATGTTGTAACCGCGAACCTCCTCTTACCTCTACAATAACCACTCTCATGCTGCCTAAATATGTTTAATGTCTGAGCAAAGGCAAAGGACTTGAGGGCTTCCAGATTTGGTTACAGAAATGGTTCCGTGCCTAGGATAAAACGGGAGCCTAATACTAAGACTCTGCGGTCTGTCTTGTCTGTCTATCACCAGGCTGTATCTCATGAACCGATAGGCTGTTGAAATTTTCACAGATGATGTATTTCTATTGTCGCCATGACAATAAATACTAAAACATAGAATAAAAAAATATATAAGTGGGGCTCCCATACAACAGACATGATTTTTTTGCCGCTTTTATAGATAATGGTACGGAATCCTACGTGCGGGAGGTTAGCAACTGGCGGGTTTTTGTTTTAATAATTTCTGTGATGCTTGCATGCAGATTTCCCTTCCTCCCTTCACCGCCGAGCACGTACTGTAACCGCAGGGATTTAAAATTTGGTCACTCGAGTGAGCTGAAGGAGAAAAGGAACCGTTTACGAAAGGAACCAGCCACCGCAGGTATTGCGTGTGCCTTAACATAATACTTATACGTTTGTGGTTTAGCGATATGTTCCACAGGAAATATACAATAAGCGGTTCGGTCGAAGCCATTTCAAAACTCACGCCAGTTGACTAACTTAAATATAACGCACAGACCAACGGTGATTGACGGCCGACACTTACGTTGGACAGCCAATGTGTACATAGCGTCAAACACCTGCTGATTACGAAATGCCGTTTTGCTTTACCATATACGAATTAGAAATTTAAATTGTTTATAGTGTTAATCTTTGCACTTAAGATTGAACATTAAAATATGTAGAAAAAGTGCGAAAAGATTGTCGCCGCTGTGGGAATCGCTCGTTTAGCTCAGTGGCTAGAGCGTCAGGCCGCGAATGCCGAAGACGTGGGTTCGATTCCCACAGCGACAATCTTTTCGCACTTTTTCTACATATTTTAACATATACGATTAAAATATATTTTGAAAATGTTTACACAGAATAAAACAAAGTCGCTCCCAATGTTTGTACGCTTAAACCTTTTAAACTACGCAACGAATTTTAATGCGGTTTTCCGTAATAGATAGAGTGAT